AAATACTGTAAAAATTGTTACCAAAGAATAAATACTGTAAAAAAAAATCATACATTAAAAAAAAAATAGCAAGAATAAATATATATTAAGAATATGATGAATTAGTTTATTTATTGTATCATAAAATCTTTATATTATTATTAACTATTATTTTTTTATTAATTATATTATTTTTATTAATTATATTATTTTTATTAATTAGTTTCTTTATTTTTTATTTATTATATTATTACATTATTATTTTTGAAAAAAACAAATTTTAAACATTTTATGGAAGACGAATAATTATTACTGTTTTAAATAATGATAAAAGTTTATTTATATTTACATTTTTAAGTTACAAATATATATTTTCATTCATTATATTCATTATTAACATTTTGACAAAACTGTGAAAAATATTCTAAATATATAATATTATTAAAATTTTTCTTTTAGTAACTTTTTTTCCAAAGTTAGTTTTTAACAAACGGTAAAATTTTTAAATAGAAAGATTGTTCAGAACTAGCTGTAAGTGGAATTCTGTCTTAAGGCAATTAAGGCATCGTGCCTTAAGGCAAATTGCTGGAACTTCCCGTACCAAAAATTATTAATTTTTTAAAAACGATTAACATTTTTGAAAAAAATGTAGTTTGAAAAAATAAGATTTCTGAGAAACTATATATATGGACAAAAAATTACTTTTTTTTGAAAAAAAACAAATTTTTTTTAATTTTTTTTTTTTTTTTTAAAAAAATTCTTTTTCTTTATTTTGACATATTGTGGAAGATCTGAACTTTTTTTTAAAGCAATCGTACTGATTTAACTGCATAGGGATAAAATATAAAGCGAGTAAGCGCCGCGTCGCTGTCTAACGCATAAGCATTGGTACGGAGCCCATAGGAATGTTAACAAAATGTATACTTATTGTTAAAATCTCTATAAAATATCTGATAATTGATGTGCATATGTCTAATGATCATTTTTGACCGCCAAATGGCTCATTTTTTTACATTTTCTTCCATACCTCCGAAACCGCTAGACCTACCTCCATGAAAATTTGACCAATTCTTTATCTTGTCAATACAAGTAAAATGTTTTTTGAATTATTAAAATCGGACGCTCCGTTCTCTTAAAAACTGAGTTACCGTTTTCGGTACTTTTGCCCCGTATCTCCGGAACGGCTAGACCTGCCTTCGCCAAAAACTAATCAGCACGTCTCCTTATCAATACGAATCGAATGTTTTTTGAATTATTCAAATCGGTTGATCCGTGTTCCCGAAATCGTCGACGAAAATTTGTATCCGCACAATCATACACACACGCACACACACACACACACACACACATACATCCATTTTTTCTAAGGTATGCCAAAATATTCAGAAACCTCTGAAACGTAAAGATATATAAAAATTTTCATTTTCGATTTTTTTGCGATTACTATAACTTACCCTACGGGAAGTTAAAAATTGTACGTGTTGGCTGCACATTATTTCTTAATAATATAACAAACTAGCTGTAAGTGGAATTCTGTCTTAAGGCAATTAGGGCATCGTGCCTTAAGGCAAATTGCTGGAACTTCCCGTACCAAAAATTATTATTTTTTTAAAAACGATTAACATTTTTGAAAAAAAAATTACTTTGAAAAAATAAGATTTTTGAGAAACTATAAATTGGACAAAAAATTACTTTTTTTTGAAAAAAATTTTTTAAAAAAAAATTTTTTTTTTTAATTTTTTTTTTTATTTTGACATATTGTGGAAGATCTGAACTTTCTTTTCAAAGCAATCAATCGTACTGCTTTAACTGCATAGGGACTAAATATAAAGCGCGTAAGCGCCGCGTCGCTGTCTAAAGCATAAGCATTGGTACGGAACCCATAGGAATGTTAACAAATTGTATACTTATTGTTAAAATCTCTATAAAATATCTGATAATTTTATGAGCATATGTCTAATGATCATTTTTGACCGCCAAATGGCTCATTTTTTTACTTTTTCCTCCATATCTCCGAATCCGCTAGACCTACCTTCATGAAAATTCTATCGATTCTTCATCTTGTCAATACAAGTGAAATGTTTTTGAATTATTCAAATCGGACGCTCCGTTCTCTCAAAAACTGAGCTACCGTTTTCGGCACTTTTTGCCCCGTATCTTTGGAACGGCTAGACCTGCCTTCGCCAAAAACTAATCAGCACGTCTCCTTATCAATACGAATCGAATGTTTTTTGAATTATTCAAATCGGTTGACCCGTGTTCCCGAAATCGTCGACGAAAATTTGTATCCGCACATACATACACACACATACATACATACACACACACATACACACACACACACACACACACACACATACATCCATTTTTTCTAAGGTATGCCAAAATGTTCAGAAACCTCTGAAACGTAAAGATATATAAAAATTTTCATTTTCGATTTTTTTGCGATTACTATAACTTGCCCTACGGGAAGTTAATAATGCAAAATCAAAAGTAAATACAGATTTATTTATTTTGAAATATTGCAATTTTTGCTTTTGTAATAATATAAATCAATATATCTATATATAAGCAATACCATTCTCTGACTTTTCAAACTCTCTAATAAAATTTGCAAATAATATATTTATATCTATTAATAAATTTATTGATAAAAATGCATTTAAAAATTAGAAGCATATTATTATTTTTTGCAATAAGTGTAATTTTCATACAAAATATGTGGTGGAAACATGGTCAAAAATCTACAACTGAAAGTAAGTTATAATTTAATTAATAAAATTTATTAATTTAATATTAATTACTGAAAACTATGTATATATTAATTACCAAGATATGTACTTGTTGTTTGGGTAAAAAAAATATTTAATTTTATAAAATGGTGTAAAAAGTGAAAGAAAATATTAACATTACAAATGTTTAAATTTTAATATAAATTCTTTTTAATTTTCAGGATCCGGTTGAATCCTGATGTGGAAAATAATATATTTTAAAAGCATAAAAAATGGTTCAGTTTGAATACAAAAATGTGGAAATTATTAAACAAATTTTTGCTAAAATTATTTAATTTTAATTTTTCAATAATTAAAATCAATAAATTCTGAATCAATATGAAAATTCTTTGCACTGTTAATAATATTATTTAAATCATTTTCTACATTTTTTGTATATACAACATTTATTTATCTACTTTAGATTATTGTAAGATTATAATATTGTTGGGAAAAGTTTGAAAAGAAATTTCATACAAGTTGTTAAAAATTATAAATCATTCATGATTATGTAATAAATCCTTCATATTTTTATTATAGAATTTTATTTATATAAAATCAAAATTTAGTATGTTTTCATTGAATATAAATAATTTCATGTTGAAATCATAAAATGTTACAATAGAAATTGTTATGTTTCTTCCTAATAGTTCTCCTAAAAAACCTTTTCATAATTTTAAATATATGTGTTTAAAGAAACAAACATTTTAGGAAAATGATATATTTTAATAAAACAGTATTTTAAAAATTGCAGATTTTGAATCCATATTATATCTTTTAATGCTTTTTAATATATATTATAAACAAAATTGTTTATATATTATTTCATGATAAAATAAATATTAATAATACTTCAATTGAAAAAAGAAGCAATTAGTTATGCTTTCTATTTTATATATTTTTTGCAAAATTTTTGCAAAAGCTCCGAAAAAAATTTTGTAGTTAGAATAAAAGCTTATAAATAATAATTTTCTATGTAATTTTCTTACATCACTAATATCATAAATAATATAAAAAAATAAAGAATGAAAATTTTAAATTATATTTAATTTAAACAAAATAAAATATACAAAATATGGAAGCAAAAAAATAAACAAAGGTATAAAAATATATAATAACTTAAATATGAACAAATAAAAAAATTAAAATGCATTAAAAGTGACAATATATGAATTTTATCCTTAAAAACAATTTTATAAGAAACTTTTTCTAAAAACGTAATGAAACTTTATATATTTAAAAAAAATCATCTTCATTCAGTAGATTATGAAGTATTTAATGTTTTGTTATAGATTTAAATAATATTAAGTACAAAATTTCAAGATTTTATAAAAAACAAATATGTATCAATGTAACTTAATTTATATTTGTGTTTGTATAAAAAATGCATATTTTTGCTTAAATTTTATTTAATAAATTCGTACAATATTTATTGAATGATCAAAAATATTGTTAAATAAATACTTTATATCATTTCATATATTGGAGAAATCAACTAGAACGTCTTTTATTAATTTATTTATATATATATATACACAAATATATATACATATATATATATATATATATATATATATATATTAGGGTGGTCCTTAATATGGTCAATTTCGAATTTCCTTGCTCCCAGGGGCTCAAATGGTTCCAAATAGATAAAAAACAATTCTCTGAAAGTTTTAGCTCTTAATATTAACGTTTAGATAGAGCGCAATTCAATCAAAGTTTTGTATGGAAATAGCATGAAAAAATTTTCAAAAATTTTCAAAAATTTAAAAAATGATTTTTAGATGTAATTTACCGAACAAAAGAATGAATAAAACTCATTCATTTGTCGCTAAGTTAAACCTAAAACATTTTTTTTAAATTTTAAAATTTTTTACTATGCTCTTTCCATACAAACTTTGATTGAATTGCGCTCTATCTAAACGTTAATATTAAGAGCTAAAACTTTCAGAAAATTGTTTTTTATCTATTTGGAACCATTTGAGCCCCTGGGAGCAAGGAAATTCGAAAATGACCTTTTTAAGGACCACCCTAATATATATATATATATATATATAAATTCTATTGACGTCCAGAAATTATTTCAATGCAAATATCAAACATTTCCCAATATTTATTCGCGTCAACAATTACCTGAATCATTTGCAATATTTGAATATATAAACCTCACAACTTTGTTAAAGGAAAATTATTGTTTTCCCAGAATTCCTAGTTTGATATTAATTCTGATTTCATAAAGTAGATTTCAGAATGAATTTGAAATTATTATTTTTGTTCGTTTTTATTGCTGTGATAGCTTTTAGCTTTGCTGAAGCTAAAAAGAAACATGGTAAGTAAAAAATATTTCAAAATAAAATTGTTTAAAATTTTAGAGTACTACATTTTTTTATTTGGTTTGAGACAAATTTTAAGGGTAGAAAAATATAATATATTCGTTTCCAGATGCTTAAACAAATATGATCAATAAAATAGTAATAATTCATAATTATTTTAAATATTAAATTTAATTTTAATAATCAGGTGGTGGAAATAATCATGGTGGTGGTCATGGTGGTGCCCATGGTGGTACCCATGGTGGTAACCATGGTTTAGGAAAACAAGGTCATGGTCAAGGTCATGGTCAAGGTCATGGTCAAGGTCATGGCCAAGGTGGTCATGGTCATGGTGGTCATGGTGGTGGTCATGGCAACGGTAACTTAACTTTTTTTCTTTTATAAAACTAGTTGTATATTTGAAAAAAATATATTATAATTTTATACATTCAAGTTCGAAAAAATCTTTAAAACATTAATTTGGTGGTAAAATCCTAATCATATGATTAAGATTTGGTCTCAAATGATTTTTAGGAAGTATTTATGATATATTTCCATCAAGATTTATATCTGTCAGCAAAGCAACTTAATAAAAATACCAAATTCTAGTTTATGAGTTACGAATTAATTTAACAAAAAGTTGTTTATTAAATTTACTTTCTAAAATTTTATAAGATAAATCATTTAAGGGGGTATTCTAGTGTACAGCGATGAATTTTAGGTCATTTTCAAAATGTCGTAAAAGAAAGCAATGAATGTTTTTACTATCCATTTTTTTACCACTTGTTTATTATTATTGAAATACAAAACAAAAATTAAAATATAAAAAAGTTGAAAATTGTAAAATCTGGCAGCTGACGAAGTGGGTGGTCTCAAAAAATTGGCACCTCGGGTTTGACATGATTTCAGTCCTCCTAGCCATCGGAAATGCAAAAAATCAAAAGATTATTAATCTAGAATGATGTCGCAATCGGCTGAACTAGCGATGAGTAAAAAATTTTTTTTTACAAATTGGCAACTGAAAAAAAAAGTTTTTTTACTGTTTTTTTGAGTTTCTCGAATTTTTTAAAAATAGGAAAAATAGGAATTTCGGAATGATTCTAGTTCAGACTATAGATAGATCTATAAACAAGATTCTCTGAAAATTTCAAATACATTGGTCTAGTAGAACTCGAGAAATCGTGTCAACAGTAGTGAAAAAGTAAGTTCTGAGAAAAAACGCATTTAAAGTTTTGTGTGAAACCAAACCAGTATGGAGGCCGAATCAGTAAAATGCCTATATCTTCGAAAATAATTCAAATTTTCAAAAATCTTCTCGTACTTATATTCTTAGATAGTTAAACTTTGAAAATATGAAATAAAAAAAAAATCGATTTATTTGAATTTCTACACTAGAATACCCCCTTAAAGTGAAACTAATAAAATAACTGATATGTATGTATGGTATACTTAATATTTTTTTAACAAGTCAATATTCAGTCTCATAAATTTTATTTAACTATTTATTAAAAAATAGGTGGACATGGAGGTCACCATCCCCATCCAAAATCCGGTGGAGGTAACCATCACAAACCTGGAGGAACTGGAGGTCACAATACCCATGGACCTCATGATGGAACTCATAATGGACCTACAGGACCTAAAACAACTACCTTTAAGAAATAAAGAAATCGTAGCTCACAATTTTGCAAATATTACCAACGCATATACAAAAGTATTTCTTCCAACTTGTGATAAATTGTGTATTGTGAAGGCGTAATAAAAAAATTTACAAAAAAATCAATTTGTATGTTTTATTTATAAATTTAACAAATTTAAGTAAGCCCTTGCCTTAAGGCAAGTTGCATGAATTTAGTGATACATGAAAATCAGCCACTTAATAAATATTGATATTTATCGATTTAGTTTGAATTTTCAACTTTTTATTGCAAAAATAAAATTTGTAATTGATAAGATTTAAGACGCACGGTGTATGTCCTAAAACCAGGGGCGTAACTACCGCCGTATCAGCCGTATCAATGATACGGGGCCCCCGGGCCCAGGGGGCCCCCAACGAGCGTTAACAGAAATTGAGAAAAACTTTTTATTAATTTCACAAACGACAAAGTCAAAAAATTAATTTATTTTTATTGTCGAAACAATCTACATCGATTATTGGCATGTTTGGCCTACGGGGTATCCGCGTTTAACCCTTAATAATCAATGAAAAACCATCAATAAACAATGTACAGTTATGCGTACCCAAAATACAATGATATGTTGACGAGCGACGAACAGCAGGGATTTCTTTTAATAAGTAATATTATTTACAACTGACCCAAAATGGACAAGAAGTACAACATTTGGTACAGAACTAAAGACGTTAGAAAAAATACAATCATATGATAATTGCCAGAGTTAGTCAAAGGTTTTATATATTGAAAGACAGCGGGGGTTATTTACATATTTCAGTTGATTGTGAATTATTTTGTATTACAATACAAACCACTAGTGTTTTGGTTTAGTGGTGATTTGTGGAAAAGTGTTTGTGGTGATTTAAAGAAAACAATAAGTGAAAAGAAAAGAGATTACGCCAGCGAAGCTATGAAACGAAAAATTAAACAAAAAAAGATGAAGTCATAAAAAAAGTGCCAAAAAAATTTTAAATCGAAAAAATATACACTTTTTTGGCAATAGCATACAACGCTGGTCAATGCTAAATCAATATTTAGTAACACTTAAAAGGGTATGCCCTACCAGATGGTCTTCAAGGAACGACTCCTTATTAGCAATAAGCAAAAACTATTCATTAATAGTAAAAACTCTGTATAAATTAAATTTGATTTCTAAAAAAAAGATTAACGTGAAGAATGTAAGAATTTAATTAACCTTTCAGAAAGCTATGATTTTTTAGTGCACGTAACATTTTTTTCTTTATTGTTTCAATTTATTAATCCAATTTCGAAAGCTCTACAGGATGTCAGTAATGACTTACAACAAACTAGCATACTATTAAGAAATCTTTTAAAGAGTCTGCGCGAATTGAGGCATAAAAATTCATTCATTATTTTGTTAGGATTTAGCAAAGAATTGGAATATAAAAACAATTTTTAAAAACAAGAGGCGGAAGATAACAAAGGGATTTTTCGATGAGTTATCACAAGACGAGAGAATTTTAGACGCTGAATCATATTTTAAAGTAAACGTGTACTATTGCTGTTTAGATATTTTAATTTCTCAAACAAAACAAAGGTTTCAAAACCTTTGTGACGTAAATAGTATGTTCAGAATATTGCAACCGGAAAAACTCATGTCTTCTTTAAATGAAGAAATAATAATTGCTTCCGGAAAACTGACGACAAAATACTGCAAAGATCTATCAGGTAATCTTTGCGATCAATTGATAGCTCTAAAAGCATGCTTAAAATCAGAAATCGAAAATAATCATTCCATTAAGGAACTCGCTGAATTATTATTAATAAAATTTAATAGTATTGCATCCGGTTTTCTGGATGTAATAACAGCTTGCATTTTATTCTTGACACTTCTAGTTACAACCGCAACTGCTGGAAGGAGTTTTTCAAAATTAAAATTAATCAAAAATTATCTCAGAACATCAATAAAACAGGAACGTCTATCAGAATTGTCTCTATTGTCCATAGAGGCAGAAACATTAGAAAAACTAAAAACATCATCAGCTTTAAATGACTTAATAAATCAGTTTGCTGATAAAAAGGCAAGGAGAGTGAATATTTAATTTTAGTTATTTGTAAAATATTAAAAATAATATTCGATGTATATTTGAAAATTTGATAAATAAATGTTCTTTTAATTTTATTAAATGAATTTATTAATCTTTTTATGTTTCTTTAAATTATGAATAATCTTTAGGGGGGCCCCCAAACCGATTTTGATATGGGGCCCCGCCAAGGCACGTTACGCCCCTGCCTAAAACCGTCCATCATTTCCAACTTTAATAAATTTTTAAGATTCAAACACTTTTTTTGTATGCCTATAATATGTTTGCTTAAATCAAGAGTAAAATTATTTGCAATAGTGAATTTTTATTCAAATCTTTAGCAAAAACAATTCTGCACAATCACTAAGTTATTTTTAAATGTTATCTTTCGAACAGTTTTTGAATTTTCAAAATAAGCCTAAAAATTTTGTCAAAAAAATTAACACTATTAATCATCTAGTTCCTCATGGAGTTTCATGGAATAGATTTTAATTTTTTTTTAAATCAGTTCAGCTGTTTTTTGAGAAAACGTCGATGAAGAGTTAATTTTTTTTTACACATACATGATTTTTCCAATTTTGGTGTCAAACGATTCAGAATAACTTCAATGATCCATTTAATGCATGTAATTATCAAATCGAATTTTACGGTGAAAACAAACTTATTCTCAAAAGCAATTTCTTTATTTAGACGACAAAAATAAATTTTTAGTTAATAGAAAATTGACCCTCCGTCGGTCGGCGTGGTCTGGCCAGACTTTTTTCGACTTCAATTTAAAAAAAAAAATACTTCTAGTAATCCTATCGACTTGAAATTTCTTGACTTTTCCTAAAATTTCATTAGCTGTCGATCAATGAAAAAATCAGGACAAATAAAAATGTACAGAAGGATAATTATAAGGATATTAACTTTTTTATACATCGAACGGTCGGAAAGGTCTGCCTAGACCACCCATACATTTTGTATGAAATATACGCTTTTTGATATATGTAAACCAGTATTTCATCTTTTTTCGTGGTATTTTCTATTCAAACTGCGTTGTTTATATTCTTTGCTATGTGTTCTAACATGAATGTTAGTATTTTCATGACGAGAGTTCTTTGAAAACCTATTGGTTTATATAATTGGATAACTTATATAATTGGATAACTTATTGGTTATCGCAAACACTGAGAATCGGATGAGTAATGCACACATTCATTTCAAAGGCGCCGAAAAAGAATAAATATTGTTTTTCATTGATTTAAAACAAAAAAATTAACAAAAAAAGCAACGATTTTTTTACATTTCTTGATTTTTTTATATAATCGTTAATACATAAGACACCAAAAACTCATTTATCCTATATAAATGCATGTAAAATGAATGGTGGTCCAGCCAGACCTTTCCGACCGTTCGAAGGTGAAAAAATTTCCGACCGACGGATGGTTAATTAAATAAAGCATACTCAAAAATAAAAGCAGATTTTATAGAATTGCGTAAGAAAATGGCAAGATATGAAAAAGAACTCTTTTTACCACAAAATGAATATTGAACTTTGCAGAAAATTTAAATGAAACATGTGTTGATAATAATATAACTATCATAAATATTATTTAATTAATTTAATAAAAATTCTGTGCATACTGTGTGAATTTTTTATGTATATATCTTGGGGGCATTTTTTACAATTTCCTTAATAAAGACACTATTTTTTGTACTTTTAAAAATACATTAGTAAAGTTTGCAACTATTACAATTGAAAAATATTTACAGTAGAAAATTGATTAACCGTATTATTTGTTGTTGATTGGCATTAGGATAATCAAAAATTCGGATAAGCGGATGTATAAAGAATAATTTTATGTATTTATTAAAAATAACAAATACATACATAGATATGCAGGAAAATCAATGTTTATTAAAAAATTAACATTTCCTCGTATAAACGGGATTCTACTGTATATTTAGAGTATAACAAATCTTCTAAGGCAATCTGCTAATTACTGAAGACAGGTAGCGAGGACGTCCATCTGCTTAAAATAAATTAATTAAATAAATTCTGTGAATACTGTGTGATTTTTTTATGTATATATCTTAGGGGCATTTTTTACATTTTTCTCAAGAACTTGAAAACTCCAATCAAGAAACTAATTTTTATACTCTATAAAAACATAAGTAAAATTTATTAATAAAAGTATTCATATTTATTTAATATTTTAACAAACAAAAGTATTTAATCTCCAATCTGCAAATAACTAAGAAGAGGCGGCGAGGACGTCATTTTCATTACACACCTCTGTGTTCTTTGTTATTAAACAAATTAGCTGTAAGTGGAATTCTGTCTTAAGGCAATTAGGGCATCGTGCCTTAAGGCAAATTGCTGGAACTTCCCGTACCAAAAATTATAATTTTTTTAAAAACGATGAACATTTTTGAAAAAAAATTACTTCGAAAAAATAAGATTTTTGAGAAACTATAAATTGGACAAAAAATTAGATTTTATTGAAAAAAAAAAATAAAAAAAAAATTTTTTTAAAAAAAAATATTTTTTTTTGAAAAAAAATTTTTTTTCCTTTATTTTGACATATTGTGAAAGATCTGAACTTTTTTTCAAAGCAATCGTATCGCTTTAACTGCATATAGACGAAATATCAAAGCGCGTGAGCGCCGCATCGCCGTCTAACGCATAAGCATTGGTACGGAACCCATGGGAATGTAAACAAAATGTATACTTATTGTTAAAATCTCTATAAAATATCTGATAATTTGATGTGCATATGTCTAATCTAAAAGACGAAAATTTGTATCCGCACATACATACACACACGCACATACATACATACATACACACACACACACACACACACATACATCCATTTTTTCTAAGGTATGCCAAAATGTTCAGAAACCTTCAAAACGTCGAGAAATGCAAAAATTTTCATTTTCGATTTTTTTGCGATTACTATAACTTGCCCTACGGGAAGTTAATAATTTAACAAATAATATTTTTAATATATCATTAAAATCGTTTATTACAATTATCTATAATAGTCTGCTTCAAAATTTCGAAAAAGGTTGAAATTTTTGCACTTATTTTATACTAAGATCCACTTTGTAAATATTTAATTAAATACGTACTAACGTTGCAAAATTTAATAATTGTATACATACATAACAAATTACAGTCCACGTAACAAAATGACGTCACAGTTACGTAGATAATATAGTAAAAATGATTTTGTTCAAACAAACGTATTTTACGTCAATGGATATATTCTTTTGTTATGAATGTGTATATATACGGAGTGTGAGTACAGTAAAATCATCTTGATCATCTTGTTGTATTCAAATATTATATTTGAGGCTTTCAAAGAAACTTTAGGAAAATGGAATCGAATTTATTGTTACTTTGTTTCGTAATTGTTACGTTTGCAATATTATTTAACACTGCTGAAGCAGTTCCTGCGGAATCGTCAAGTGGCTGGGGTGGTGGTTTTGGTGATTGGGGAGAGAGAATTTCATCAGGTATAAGAAATATGTTAACTTAATTAGATATCATAATTTATTATCAAAATTAACTATATTTTATTTCATAGGAATAGACGGAATTGGGGATCAATTAAAAAAAATTATAGGAACTAAATAATCAAAAACGAGCAATTTTAAGCATTCCAAAAACATATATGCAGAATATTCAAAGTTTAATAATAATAATATTTACATGAAATGTGCAATTGGTATTTTACCTAAAAATAAATATATTGAAATGTATACTGCTTTTATTTAATATATGTTAAAATTGTATTTATAATTATATAATTCAATAAGAAGTTCCAAATATAATGTCAAATGTAAGTAAAAATTTGTGCACATTTTCAAAAAAAGAATGTCAATAAGAATAGATATGCGTTAAATTTCTAAATAAATTTTGGTTTCTAATTTCTAATGAAAAATGGTTTTGACCGACCTTGATTAATAAATAAAACCAATACGATCATATTTCGAAAATATGAAAATATTCGTCTTTAGTTGTTTTTTTAATTAAAAACAAATTGATGTTTGACTGAAACTTGCTAGATTGAATAAATTATTGGAATTGTGCTTTAACAATATTATTTCTTTGGATTTTAATTATAATTTTAAATTTAAATTAGCATATTAAAAATATTTAAATAGTGTAACTATTATTTTAGAAATTTAGTTTATTCACATATTTATCTTACCAGTATATTAATTTTTAGCCAAAAGTTAATCCATAATGCAAAATTTTATTTACTCAATTTATAAAATTTTAATATTTATAATATTCAAAGCGTATTAATAAAATTATTATTCAGATAAAATGTTCAATTGATATTCATTAGATTAGGATATTCATTTTGATTTTTTTAAATCTATTAGAATTAGAAATGCTGCAATTGCACAGATTGACTGATATTTATTAAAAATTGTTAAAACAAATTCCTATTAATTTTGAATTATTAATTTCAACAATAGCTGAAAGCATTTGTATTTTTACAGCCATTTTTTTCCTTCCTTTTCAGAAAAGATGAAAAAATTACTATATAATAAGGAAAATCGTGAAGAACTAAAACAACTTTTAAAAAATATTATAAAATCGAATACCTATTAATTATATTATAAAATATAATATAATTTATACATATAGTTATATAATTTAAATAATTTATTTATTACGATTTAAAAATTTTAGGATTTCATGCAACTTGAATGTGATAAGTTTTTATTTTAAGAAATGTGTTGTTTTTTTTAACTTTTGGAATGTTTATTAAGCTACAAATTATCTGTTAGTTTTATACTTATTCAAAAAAGCATTTAGCATTCTTAGATTTATTCGTCTCCAAAGAACGATTTTATCTTTATTCCGAGATTTAAAAAAAATAGATTTTTTAACAATAAATGTATGTGAATTTTACTAATTTATAATTTAAATTTTCTTCATTTGTAATAACTAACGAATGAATAAAATTAATTCAGAAATATAATAATTCATAGTATTTCATATAATAAGAATTCAATCATCTTTATTCAACTTTATTGTAGTCCAAAAACACGGAAAAAAAATTCCACTCACCTCAAAAAAAATAAAAAATACATTAATATTAAATATAAAACAAATTATATATTATAGTCATTTAATTAAATAATTTTTCATTGTGTACGTTTTGACACTGTATAAACTCAATTTCCAATGAATTTTGATTTTTTTTAAATGTATTCGTCCTTTAAAAATATATAAACACTCAAAAATTACTATTTCCCATATTTTAATATTAAATTATAAAAAAACTGTGTGTCTAAATACCAAAAATTTCTTGTTATTTTTAATAAGGCTAGAATGTTTGAAAAATGTATTCGAATTTTACGTTATAGTACTTTTTTTTTAATTATCAATTTTTATTGTTAATTGATAAAGATAATATTTCAAGCCTTTTAGACAACTCAAAGCAAATGTTAAAGATTTTAAATAATTTTAAATTTAAAATATAATAATTGTTACTAATATTTTATAAATCCATTTATATATAATATACCTTTTTGCGTATTATTTAAAATATGTAAATATTTTAGTTCCTGTATTATTTAAATAAATCCAATTTTTAACCACTCGATTATAAAAAGCACTACACCAAATTGACAAAATTGCGAACACTATTTTTTAAATATTAATTATTGCAAAAAGGTGCAATAAACCTGAAAATAATATTTTAATTGAACAAAAAGCAGATTTCCAAAAAAAAAAAACGTTCCACCGTAAAAATCCTAAGTCACAGTTGTTTAAATATTAAATAAATCTGAATAAACGTGTTTTACGTCAATGAATAAACTTTTATTATAGAGTTATATATTTATACTATTTTGAAATCTTTTACATATATATTAGTGTTTAAAATCATCTTAAACATTATGCTGCATTTAAGAAAATTTTCAAAAAATCTTTTTCAAGATGGTTACAAAAATGTTGCTTTTTTGTTTCATAATTGTTACATTTCCTATGTTATGTAACAGTGGATTTTCTATACCGGTAGGAATTCCGAGTCCAGGAGAAAAATTTTCAGAGGGTATTAGTGATAAATAAATATGAAATTATGTGATATTATATTAACAATAATATTAATTTTTATAGCTTTGGGAGGACTGCCAGAAACTATAAGAAAAATATTAACAAAAACATAATTTAAGTTGCAACATTTTTATTCTTTCTAAAATTATGGACTTAATTTTCAAACTAAAAAATTAGTATTTGCAAGAATTTTACAATCAAGATTATAACTAGTAAAAAATAAATATTTCATTAAAAAAAATTTTAGGTGTAAGTGGAAACTAGGTTCCAGATTTTTATTTGATCAACAAGAAAATATTGATGATTATGAAAAAACGGTTTGACCGATCTTTATATTTTATTAAAATCAACAATTATATTTGAAATTGACTTTTTTTTTAAATAACTAAGAAAGTAACTGATTTATTTCTATTTTGTAACCAAATTTATGGACAAACTATTCAACGTGTAATAATTAATTTATTATTTATATGAAATGTACAAATGATTTTCTGAATATAAATATACATATTAAAACGTATACTTTTTTATTTAATATATATTGAAAAGTATATGTATATATAAAGAACAAAAAAACATTCTAAATACAAACTAGCTTTAAGAAGAATTTTGCAAAAAAAAAGTTACATGAACTTTTAGATCTCAATAAAATATTTAGTAAATTAACATGAACAAAAGAATTTTTGATTTTTAAACAAAATCACAAATAATTACGAATTTGACGAAAAAAATTAATAAATATATAGAAAAATTTTATTATTAGACCTTAAAATTTTCTTTAAACTTAAACATGTGAGTTTTTTTCACTATTTTTTTTTCAAGAAATAAATGGAGCTTGTTTTTTTTACGATATTTTAATATCGCATTTGTATATATATATTTTTAGATTATTCTAAATATTTCATCCAAAATAGTAATTTTAAGCTTGATTAAATTAAAAAAATAGACGAATAATTAAATGTTATAACAAAGAATTTAAGTTTTGCTGATTTGTAACTTAAATTTTCTTCATTTGTAATAAATAAATAAAATTAATTCAAAATTATAATGAGAAATCATACCTTAACTTTATTGGAGCCCAAAATCATAGGAAGAAAATTTCGCTTACCTGAAAAAAATAAAAAAATAATTATTAATAATGATTATAAAACAAAACATATTTTAGAGTCATTTAATTAAATAATTAATTGTTCATTTCGTACAAATTCAACCAGAAAAAACACAATACACAAAATTAAATGAATTATTATTTATTTTAATAAAATAATTAACTAAATGTTAATTATGTAGTTAGTCGTATTCTCAACATTATTTGTTTGATAATTTTGTTAAGAATGTGTTAATTATTATTTTTGTTACAAAAATATAATTCCTAAAATCTTTTACTAATTTTATTATATTAATATTATTTTATTTTATTATATTTTATTATATTAAGCTATTAATTATAACATCAATAAGCATACATAATGTCCAAATTTAAAAAAAAAATATTTTTTGCATTTAGATATTTTCGAAAAATGATATTCCCAAAAACACTCCAACGTAAACACAGTTGTTCAAATAATAAAGAAATTTTGACCAAAAATTTTAATATTAAGTAAACAAAAATATTTGACGACACACTAAATTATTATTATTAAAAAACATATATAAAAGTTAATAAAACACTCGACAAATTATATTCAGTAACAAATAGTACCTACGGTGTTTCAATTATTTTTTTCAAAAATGATGAGAATATTTGTAGGATTTTTTTTAGTTGCAATTTTTTGTCATTTTTCTACTGCCTATAATACTGGTAGGACATCAAGTATAAATTCTGGAAATCGTAAGTATAATATTTAAGACTATATTTTAATTTTTTTGAAAATCCACAATAATACATATCGGTTTTACAAAAAACAAATTTTTTTGCAAAAAATACATCAATTGTAATCCCAGTTAGATTTACAACTTTTTTAGGATATATAATATTTTCAGAATGTTTATAATATTTTCGTACACACAATATTTTCATACAAAGTATGTTGTTGCCAAATAATTTATAATATTTTCAGACAAATATAAACATTTTTTTTTTAACAATTTACAAAGTAAAACATATTTGAATAATTTACAACATTTGGAGTCAAAATTTTCACCGAACTAACTACATTATCAGACTATTTTCGGATAGTTTTGGAAATTTTATTTAAATACATATACAAAATATTTACAACAATTTCTCATAATTAACCACTTTTTTCCACTATTAGACAATTTTAGACAAAATTTCCAGGCAATTTACTACATTTTTTTTTTTCTAACAGGTGATCCCACAAAAAGTTTGCAATATTATAAAGAACATGAAGGGGGAGGTAAATAGCTACTTTACTATTCATTATAATTTTAATAATAATTAATTTATTATTAATATTTAAAAAAAATATAGGACAACATCCAGTTAACCCCGGAAATCTAGATATGAAACATTATAGAACATCAAATAGAAATCAAGGTAAGGACAAAATAATTTATTAATTGATTTTAATTTATATTGAGTATTTTGTTATATATATATATATATATATATATATATATATATATTAAGGTGGTCCTTAATATGGACATTTTCGAATTTGTTTGCTCCAAAAGGCTCAAATGCTTCCAAATTAATAAAAAAAATCTCTGAAAGTTAAATATTAACATTTAGATAGTCCGCAGTTTAATTAAAAGTTTGGTTTTCATTCATTATTAACATATGTCTCTAAGTGAAACTCTTGTGCCATCTGTGATAGCATTTGTGAACTCCAATATTACGACACTAAAAATCATTTAACCTCTAATTAAATCCATGTGGACTGTTTAACGAAATATTTATTCATCGTGGCATCAAAATTAATTCTGCAGCAAAATATTTATTTAATTGGTGATGTTGACACTCAAATTATCAGTAATAAATTGCCATCAAATTTACAGGTCTGCTATCACAGATGGCGCAAGAATTTACTTAAAGATAGATGTTAAAAATAAATATACGAAATTTTTAATTGAATTGCGGACTATCTAAATGTTAATATTAGGAACTAAAACTTTTAAAGATTTTTTTTTATTAATTTGAAAGCATTTGAGCCCTTGGGAGCAAAGAAATTCGAAAATGTCCATATTAAGGACCACCCTAACAAATATACATATGTACGAGTATATAATTGAACTCTTAAATGGCTATTCTAATTTCGATAAAACATTTTTAGTTCGACAGAAAAATTAAGAATTATCAATCAAAACAAAAAAAACAAACAAGTAGAATATTAAATATCATAAAAAAGATAAATATAATTGTTTTGACCTTGCCAAAATATATTTAATAATTTTGGTAGATAACAATTTAATGATAATTTGTTCTTTAAATGTTGATATATGTTAAATTATGCGTAAGAAAATGCAATTTAAGCACTATTATTATCAAAAAATCATTAAAATATATCAAGGATTAAAGTAAATAATAAAAATGATATAATACATGAATTTTGCTACATGGACAGTTTTAGAAATAAAAATTTTTTTACAATTTTTACTTAAATGCAAATATATGTTAAATTGTAATTTAAAAACATTAGAAAAATAATATACAATAATATTGATAGTGATGGTACAAAAAATAACAGTTTACTTACAATTGCGACAGATAAAGTTCGAGTCAAAAAAAAATCTTACTAGCTGTAAGTGGAATTCTGTCTTAAGGCAATTAGAACATCATGCCTTAAGGCAAATTTCTGGAACTTCCCGTACCAAATATTATTATTTTTTTAAAAACGATTAACATTTTTGAAAAAATTTTACTTCAAAAAAATTAGATTTTTGAGAAACTAGGAATTTGACAAAAAATTACTTTTTTTGAAAAAAAAAATTTTTTGAAAAAAAAAATGTTTTCTTTATTTTGGCATATTTTGGAAATTTTGAACTTTTTTTTCAAAGCAATCGTACTGCTTTAACTGCGTAGAGACAAAATGTCAAAGCGCGTAAGCGCCGCGTCGCCGTCTAACTAATAAACATTGGTACGGAACCCATAGGAATGAAAACAAAATTTGTACTTATTGTTAAAATCTCAATAAAATATCTGATAACTTGATGTGCATATGTCAAATGATCATTTTTGACCACCAAATGGCTTTTTTTTACTTTTTTCATTAGATCTCCAAAATCGTTAGACCTGCCTTTATGAAAATTTGTTCAATTCTTAATCTTGTTAAAACAAGTGAAATGTTTTTTGAATTATTCAAATAAGACGCTACGTTCTCTTAAAAACTGAGTTACCGTTTTCGGCACTTTTTGCCCCGTATCTTCGAAACGGCTAAACCTGCCTTCGCCCAAAACTAATCAGCACGTCTCCTTAATCAATGTGAATCGAATGTTTTTAAAATTATTCAAATCCCTTCATCCGTGTTCCCGAAATCGTCGACGAAAATTTGTATCCGCACACACACACACGCACACACACATACACACACAAACACACATACATCCATTATTTATAAGGTATGCCAAAATGTTCCGAAACCTTTAAAACGTAAAAATATATAAAAAATTTCATTTTCGATTCTTTCCGATTACTATAACTTGCCCTACAGGAAGTTAAAACACCCTTTTTGGTAACACAATTATTAGTACTGAACTTACGATTTTACTTGACATTCTTATATAATTATATTATTTTATTTAAAAATTTAAATCTGTTTGTGATTTAAATCTGCGAAGTCTGAAAATATAAAATACGTAAATTATGATATTTAATAAAATTCATACATTATGTTTGATCATTGTCGTTAGCATTTAAAATAATACTTAAATTTAATTCTTGTAATGAAACAGTAAAAATTTTATTAAATCAATATAAGTTAAGAATAAAATATTACGAATTTTAGTACTGATATTAATCTATTAAAGTTTAATTAAATATAATAATTTTATTAGTTTATTTAAGGGGGCGTCCATAAACACGTGAGTTTTTTGGTGTTGAGTTTGACAAAAAATCACAAAAGATCACATAAGGGAGGGGGCGAGTTCAGTAAGATATCACGTGTATTTATTTTTTACCAGATTTTTTTTTTGAAAAAAAAAGCCCAACATTTTCAAAAAATTCAAAAATACGCGAGGGGAGGGGAGCAATTTTGAATATCAAGGGGAAGGGGGGGTGCTAAAAAATCCTAAAAAATCTATTACGTGATTAATAGACGCCCCTTGAATTATTTGAGCTATAAACGTCGAAATAGTAAAATTAGTAGAACTAATAAAGAATTTTTCCAGGTGGTTCAGATTTTGTCAAGAAATTCCAGGAAGAAAAGCAAAGAATGAAAGATAATGCTAAACAAGTTGTTGATGAATATAAAAAGAAATTAGATACAATGGGTAAAGATAGAGTAAGGCAAATAAAGTTAGACGATGAAAAAAAAGAAGCCCTAGAAAGATTAAAACAAATTCAAGACGAGCAAAGATCAGGGAATCCGGCGGAGAGAGGTCTCGTACAAATAAACGACAATAAAAAAAGTTAAATAAATAAATATACATAAAAATTATTTTTATAATGTATATTTTTTCAATAAATATATTTTTGCAATGGAGTACATTTTGAATATTATTTAAACTAAATTAAGAATATTATTTAAACTAAAAATTCAAGAACTCTTCGAGAGATATTAGATGAGAAACGTGCTAGTATGTTTTAGTTAGAAATCATTTAAAAAAAATGACAATTTTTGTAAAAATTCTCGATAATAACAAACATTCTAAAATATTAGAAACATACCAAAAGTGGTTTATTCATAAGAATTGATTAAAGTTTAAAATAATAATTTGTATACTATAATTATTACTATTACAAATATAATAAGTGTGTTTGAAATATATCTATAAAAAATCCCATTAATTTATTTTTAGTGCTTGTAATTTAAAATTTTGAATAAAAATTAAATACTTTCCAATTTTATAATTCATCAAATATGGATTTTAAAAAATTTGAAGTTTATTATTATCATTAAATTTAGACTTAAAATTTTTCAATCCAAATATTACTTCTTAATTTTCAATACGAATTTCTTACACATTATGGAAAACTAAGTATTTAAAATTACCAGTAAATAAATAATAAATTTTATTTGATATTATCGGCATAATATTAAATATTAAAATTCCAAATTTTTTAAGTAAGGTTGTAACTCCAAAAACAACTTTAAGAGGTTTTAATAAACTAATAATAAACCCGAAAATATTTTTAGCATTTTAATATAAATTATCAATATTTGTGTAAATGACAATGACAAATTTATGTAAATTCTAATTTTAGATTATTCATATAACCTAATAGGAATTTTATGTAAAAATTATTTGAACCAAGCAGAATTTTTAGTTATTGTAATACATATATAATTAAATTCAAAAAAAAATTAATTCTTAAAGTCTCTCCCAAAAATTCTAAAACTATTTACTAAAACCTCTAAAAGTTCCGTTCGCATATTATTTTATAAATAAATAATATTTAGCTTATTGAATATTTATTATCAATTTTAAAAATTTCAAAATTTTCACAAAATTACGAACATAAATTCATTAAAATTATTAAAAAGTATGAAAAAAATTATTAAAGTAAAGGAAAACTAAAAAACACGAGCACGAAAATTTTATAACTTATTTTTTACTTATTTATTTTATACCTTAGTTATGTAACATTTTTTAAAAATAATCAAAATTTTAAAACATTTCAAAAATATCTGTCATATATTTGCAATAAAGATTTCTTAAAAAATATATAGTTAAAATAACATCAAATATTTTATAAAAAAAAAAAATACTGGTTTTGCAATTCCACACGTAAAATTTTGAAATTATCTTAAATAAACAAATCTTGCTAAAAAAATATGCAATATTTTACTAAATATTTATTTTTTAATATCGTGATATTTGGTAATTTTTTTGCAACAAATAAAAATTTGTTTACATATGAAAATCACTTAGTTAAATAAATATAAGTTTGGAATATAATTTTTGTATATAAAATCAAATTGGTAATGCACAAATTCTTGTAGTAATTAAACTTATATATTTAAATATATATTATTATTATATTATTAAACTTTTATGAAATGGTTTCTAAAATTTTGTTACTTTGTTTCGTAATTGTTACGTTTGCAATGTTATGTAACAGTGCTGAAGCAGTTCCTGAACTTTCTGATGAAGAACGCAAAGATTTAATGGATAAAGCTAAAAAATGTATGTTATTAATAAATATTAAAATTTATGATCTATTATTGATATTATAATTTTATTTTTTATAGCACTGGATAAAATTAGTGGCCCTTCTGGAGCAGTATTTGGTCTTAGTAATTTTGGAGGTTAATCTAAAATTCAAAAAAATATTCGAAGTTTGCCAATAAAATTAATATAATATAAATAAAGTGTGCAAATTATATTTTAGACAAAAATTATTTATTATTTATCAATAAAATATATGATGATGTATAAAACCATGATAAGTTCTAAATACGAAACTGATAACTGTAAGTAGAAAATTATTTAATATATTAAGAGTTACTAAAATAATAATTTCAGTTTTAATTTTCAATATAATTTCATAATTAGATACCTCAGAATTTGACGCAAAAATTGATTTTTCTCTTTTATTAATTGTTGATTTAAATAAAATAGTTAGACTGAAATTTAAAAAATGTAAAAGAAATATAAATCCATAATACTTAACAAAAAAAAGCTGATTGTAATTTTCTACACATGAAGTATTAAAATTCACAAACAATTGATATTAAATATATGCAATATTTGATTATTTCATATTTGGAATTTTTTTGGAAAAAATATATTTGTTTATGCACGTAAAGTAAATATATTTTTGGAAACAATTTTTTATTATTACTAGACATACAAATTTTGTATATAAAACAAGAATAAGTTATATCTTATTTAAATAAAATTTCATATATTTATTTTTAATTTAACGATTTCTTTTATATATTTTCTTTTATAAAATGGTTTCAAAACTGTTGCTACTTTGTTTCGTAATTGTTACGTTCGCAATGTTATGTAACATTGCTGAAGCAGTTCCTGCACTTTCTGAAGAAGAGAGAAAAATTTTAATGGATAAAGCTAAAAGATGTATGTGATTTATAAATATTAAAATTTGCAATTTATTAGTAATAACATAACTTTATTTTTGCAGCCTTGAATAGAATTAGTAGCTCATCTAGAGGAGTGTTTGGCCTTACAATTAGTAATTTTGGAGACTAATTCAAAACAATAATTATATAATAACAATTATATAAATTATATAAAAACAATATTTAGCTTACGTAAAAACATATTCATATTCATATTCATTTCTACTAGGGATTATGCTTTCCAAAATTCTGAGAATAATATTCAAAGTTAAAGAATAAAATATAATAGTTATATTAATAAATATAGTTATTATTTAAGATAAAAAATTGTATTAAAATGCGTCCAATTTTTAATTGAATTATATTAATAAAACTAGTGGTGTGTGGCATCGTGCGTTAAGGCAAATTGCTGGAACTTTCCGTTTTCAAATATATTATAACAAATACTGTAACTTTCATTATTTTTGCTATCTTGTTATATCTGATTATTTTTGATATCTTGTTATGCAAATCAAATGTAAATCATAAATCAATTTATCTCCAAAACATTAACAATCGTCATTTAATTTCGAATTCAATTAAAAAAAAAATAGTTGCCTAATTTGCACGAAATTGAAAAAGTCTAAACGCATTTGCAAATAATTCTGTGCAACATTTTCACTTATACTGTGCTTAGCTTGGTGGCATTTTCACATTTTTCGATAGTTTATCACAAAATTGGAAAAGTGCTTCATACATAAATAGTCTAAACGCATTTGGGTAAACATTTGTACCAGAGTAATTTTTTTATTTTTTAATACAAAATTACAAAAATATTTTTTGAAAAAAAAACCTTTTTTTCAAAAGCAATTATTTTGTTGAAACAAGCAGAAAGTTCTTTGAATCATTTAAATTGGACGCTTTCTCTCAAAAACTGTCTTAGCTCCGTATATTCGAAATGGCTGGGCCTGCTTCTGCCAAAAACTAATAAACACTTCTCCCAATCATTACAAATTGAATGTTTTTTAGATCATTCAAATCTCTCAAAAGGTCGATTTCTATTTTCTACACTCTTTGCTCCGTATCTCCGTAACGGCTGGACCTGCCTTAGCCTAAAACTATTCAGCACATCTCTCTATCAATAGGAATCGAATGTTTTCTGAACCATTCAGATCGGTTAATCCGTGCGCCCGAAAACGTGGATGAAAAAATGCGGAAATACAAAACACACACACATACATTTTTTCTGAGGTATGCCAAAATGTTCAACAACCTTCAAAACGTCGAAAAATGCAAAAACTTCCATTTTCGATTTTCGGCCCATTACTATAACTACCCTAAGGGAATTGCAGAGTTATTCTATTCACACCATAATTTTTTTTTTACAATTTCAAAAATATTGGTTAAATTATATACATTTTGCTAAAAATTAATATTAATTCTACAACAGTAGTGTTATCTACAAATACTGTTGTTTTTGACTAAAAATTTAAATTTAGACTATTACAAAATTTATGTAAACAAAGTCGAAAAATGTTGCAATATATTTTCGAATAAGTATCTGGAAACTTACAACATTTCTTAAAATTAATTTTATTTTCAAATTATTACTAACCAGTCGTTGTCACATATTTCTATATTGTGAATTTTTTTTAATTTTATCACAAATCAAGAAATCCTCATGTGATAATTTAGAAAAACAACATGAAAATGTAAATCAAATTTGGAAAAATCTCAACCAGTAAAATTTATTCAGAAAAATCCTGGCAAGTTAATTAAACATTTGTACATTATTAATGTATTTATTATTATTAATTCATCAAAAGTAGATATTACTAATAATAAGTTTCCAAAAATTAGTATCTATTCTTTATAATTATTATAGAAAATTTTTATCACTAAAATGATATTTTAAGTAAAATTGGTTTTTGTGGTATACAAAATATTATATCAGATGAAATATTTTTTTTAAAGAAAGTATTTTGTTAATAAATGTTAATAGATTTTAGCAGAGCCAAATTTATATTATAATCGTAAGGTATTGAATAAAATAAAAATCTAATAAAAATATATTTTTTTGTATTTATAAACAATTATTGATTTAAATTATTTTGTTTTACAGAATCTCAAAAACAAATTGGCGATTAACTAAATCATATTAAAAATCCACATTTAACAGGTAATATTTTATTTTTATATTGTTTATTAATATTTTTTTTCAATATTTATATTAAATTTCAGATGGAAGACCTTAGTTAACAAAAGATTTCAAAGTTCTGGAAGAAAAATTTGACGATTTTCAAAAACAATTTTATGGAAATATAAATGTAAAAAGCATAAATGTGAAAAAAAACATAGAAAGCATAGAAAGCATGGGAAAAGTCGTTATTTAGATTTTATTGAAGTTATTAAAAATCTTGAACATGAAAACCATGACCATTTAGCAGAATTAATC